CCGCGCGGCGTCCCCTCTGCGCTCAGAGCAGAGCTCTGGGGAAGGAGCGGGTCTGCGGCTCTCCCCCCGGAAGGAGGAGCCTGGGGACGCGCACAGCCGGGGGCGTCCCGCGGCCGCAGACCTGACCCCGCTGGACCTCAGCCACCTGTCGACCCGGGGCGACCCCGGCCACAAGGACCTGGCCGCCTCCTTGCGGGCGTCCCTGGCCGTCCACCTGTGTCCCTACTGCAGCCACCAGACCTACTACCCCGAGGTCCTGTGGATGCACCAGCGCGTCTGGCACCGGGTCAGCTGCACCTCTGTGGCCCCCCAGTGGGTCCAGCCCAACGGTCACAGAAGCATCAGGAACAACCTGGTGTTCCTTGTCCGGAGCGGACGCACCGGCCCCCCGCCCGCCCTCGGGGGCAGAGAGTGCCAGCCGCTGCCCATCGCCCGCTTCACACGCACTCAGGGGCCGGCCGGGGCGCCGGGGCCCAGCGGCAGCTGCTCACCCACGGCTGGGGTGGCACGGGCCACCGGCACGCCTCGGAGCAGGGAGGGCCACCCCGGGGGCCCCTGCGCACTCTGGACGGCCAGCCCCGAGGGGCCTCGGCAGACCAAGCCTGGCCACGGTCCCGAGCAACACGGCTCCCCGGCCCAGCTGCCCCCACACAGGCCCAAGCAGGAGGCCGGCCCCAGACCCGGGTCCGCGGGCGGTGGCTTCAGCAGAAGTGCCACGCCCACACCCACCGTCATCGCCCGTGCAGGCTCCCAGCCCCCAGCCCCCGGCCGGCTGGGGGATAAGTATGTCGTCCCACCGGCGGGGGCTGGCGGTGGCCCCCCAAGTAAGCACAGTGTCCTGGAACCACTGAAAGCCAAATTCAGCCCTCAGCCTCTGGGTCAGCTGCATGCGAAGGGCGACGGCCTGGCCCTCCCCGCCTCCACGGCTGGCCCGGGCTGCCGGGGGGACACGGCTCTGCAGACCCCACCCACCCCACAGGCCGCCCGGCAGGAGCCGCCCGGGGGCCACGAGAAGCATGTGGACATCCTCAGCATTTTCAAGACATGCATCCCCAGGGACTTCACCACGCTCTACCAGAGCTGGGGCGCCAGTGGCTCTGCACGAGAGCACAGAGGTAAGCCATGGGGCCTGCTCCCCGCCACGGAGCGCATGGGCCCAGGGACCCCTGCAGGAGCCTCCCATGAGCTCATCGGAGCCGCCCCATCTGGGCTCCTGCCTGATGTCAGCGGGCCCGCGGCTTTCCCCCACGCTTGCGTGTTTATGTGGGGTGTGGGTCCCTCTCTTCCATGCTGATCTGTGATGGCAGCAGGTAGCCTTGTTGGCACTTTGCACGGGGCATGCACATTGTCTCTTCTGTTCGAGAAGACGTGACCATTCATTGGAAGCGGCTGAGTTTCAGTTTCATACACATCCGCTGTCAGTCAGCCCAGCCTTGCGGGTTATGAGCGCACCATGTGAAGCGTGGGGGATGGACTCCTGTTAGAGCTCTGTCTCCCTCTGCCGCCAGCACCTCGGCGGTGACACGGTAGCAGCGACAGGGCCAGCTGTCCCCACGCGCTCCGTCAGCCGCGATGCCCTTGGTCACGGTTCTCATGTCACCCCGGGCCCACTGGGAGAGCCAGGTGTTTCCCAGGAGCTCAGGCCGTGAGCTCGCCCCTGGGCTGTCCTCACTGGCCGTGGACAGCCTGGACACACGCCCCTGTACTTTTCTGCATCAGGTCACCAGTTACGGTGTCCTCTGAGATCCAGTTCAAAGCCCAGGAAGCTGGAAGCACTCTGGGGGCCGTGGTTCAGGGTTCGGGGGCCACTGTCAGTGGAGAGGCACCTGGATCCACCGTGTGTGACATCCCAGTGGACAAGTGCAGATCCTTCGCTAAGTCCTTGGTCTTCTCTTGTGACTCTGGAACCTTACCTGCACCCACGGGTGCCTGGAGCCAGCTCGGCCCGGCAGGCGATGCCTTTGGTTCTCGTCACCCTTAGAGAAAAATGAGGAGTTTTTTGGCTGGGAGAAAACTCGGGCGTTCCCCAGCCATCGAGATGGCGCTGGTGGCGTCCTTGTTTGAGGCTGGCCCGGGTCGTCCTTGTTTGAGGCTGGCCCGGGTCCTGGTGCAGGCTGTCTGTGAGGAAGTGGGGTGCGAGTGTGTTGGGTGTCCCCGCAAGGTGGGAGCCAGCCTCAGTTCTTTAGGGGGGATTTTCTTGAACTCCGAAGCTGGGAAGTTTTAGACACGAGACGACAGGTGTGAGTCAGCGGGTGCCTGTGTTCCTGGTGGCCGTCAGCTTTCCACCCAGGCCCCTGTGACTGCACGCCCTGCGAGCGAGCTGCAGGTTTGCACCAGTTGCAGTGGCGTCCGCCCCTCAGGGCGCTGGGCTTGCGATGTGGTTGGTCACACGCCGGTGCCTGCAGGCATCACACAGATGGACCCGCAGGCTGAGACCTGGTGCGCGTCCTGCCCGCTCTTTGGAGGCTCTGTGTGCTGCCTGTGGCCTGCGTTGCTGCCTGCTAGGTTTCTCCCCCAAAAGAACTGGATTTGAAGTTAAGGGCTGTGCATTTCGGGTGAAAGAAATTGAAATAGAGTAGCTTGAAACGTTTTCCTTTTCCTTAAAAATTTTTAAAATAAACGGTTCTAAGGCTTTGTTTTTCTAAGCAGAAGTTAAACACTTACGTTTACAGGTGTCACGTGCCCAGTTGTCCGTGAAGCGTGCACGTGGTCTCGGCTGTCTGCCCTCCTGCGGCGTGCCCCAGAGGCCGGCAGGGGGCGTCGGCGATCGCGGTGTCCCCCGTCCGTGGCGGAAGCCGTCAGCGTTCTGGCCATTCCGTGCTGTGGAGTGCGGTTTTAGTGTCGCTGTTTCCGTGTTTAGTGATCAGCTGGTGTGAATCCCTTATCGGCCCCCGCGAGGCCACATGGCTTGACCTACCCTGGAGGGACCCTTCCCCCAGACAGCCCTCTTGTCGGCCCTGGTCTCACGGTGGTGGCCACTCGGAACCAGCTGGGAGACTTCCACGTGGCAGTCTTCAGCGCGGCTGTCTGCCTTCCCTGGGTCCCCTCTGCTGCTCGAGCCCCTGAACCTGCGCGGGTCCCCTTCCCCGCTTCGGAGGTGTGCTGGTAGCACTCTGTGTGTGACGGAGCCGGCAGAAAGTCCAGCAGCCGTGGCGTGGCCGAGGGCGGATGCTCCCTCACGGGGCCTCGGGTCCTGCTGCCAGCTTAGGGACTCTGTGCGGCCAGAGTTGGCATCGTGGACACGTCCCCGAATGTGTCCCCACTGCGTTCCCGAGCGTCTGTTTCCCCGTGCGTGCGGCACCTGCTCCTCCTCGAGCACGTGGTCACCGAGTTTCGCTTCGTGCCTCCAGAATCTTATTTAATTCACTGCTGTCCTGAACCATTTTTGGACTTTATCCCACGAATCCGCCAGCACTTTTTGGATCTTTGTTGTCAGACGTGCTCTGTGTGTCCTGGTGCGGTGCCATCTGCAGAGTGAGGGTCACTTCTAGGCAGGCCACTGGTTCAGGTGTTGCTGTCGCATCACCTTGGGGGGGGGGGCAGAAACATGGGGAAGAGACTCTCCCAGCGGCCGGCCGCCCACCTGCTGTGTCCGCAAGCGTCGCGGGGCTGGGGTGAGGTCCTCTGACCTTGGCAGTGGGTGCTTTTAGATGGAGGACTTTGCCGACGTCTCTGACGCATCAGGGTTTTCAGAAGGTGTCATAATTCTCAGAGACCTTTCCACACATGTTCTCGCTGAGTGACGTTCGCGTAGAAATCCTGCCAGACGAGGGAGGAGTGACGTGGAAAGGACCGTGGTCCCGTCACTCAGGGCCTCGGCTCACCCTCGAAGGACGAACAGCGCTGTGTTTCCGTAATCGGTGTTCGGTGTGGCTGCCGAGTCTGGAGGTGCGTGCGTGCGTGACGTGAGTGGTTTCTTGGAAGAGCGACGACAGGATACTGAGTCCTCTGTGTTTGCAGGCTCTGCGGCCCGCGTTACTCGATAGTACGGGTTTGGGAACAAAAACCGAGAAGCGATACGACGGGCTAGTGCCAGACGGAGCACTGCGTGAACCGCGCGTAGCGAGACTTGACATGACCACTTACGGCGGAGACACGTCAGCGCGACGGTGGCGGAAGCCTCGTGCTTCATGCGAGCCTTTTCAGACTCCGCAGACCGCCTCACAGGAGGGAGCCTGGCGGGCCCCCGGAGCTCCAGGCCCCTTCCCCACCTCCGGGCGCACCTGCCACGCACACCCGGCTTTCCAGGCCAGCGCGTTGGAGGCGTTCGCCCACCAGAGTCTTCAGCTCACACCCAGCGTGTGGCCTCTGGAGTCACTCGGGTGCGGGCACGTTACTGGCCACGAAGGGCAAGGGTCTTTTCTTTAAAAGCAAAGAGGAAACGAGATGATAAAGCGCAGGGGAACACAGTGTGTGTGCGTGTGCGTGTGTGCGGCGTGTGCACACACTGATGCAAACTTAATTCAAGGGAATAATGCGTGCGTAGAAGCGCCGTTTTTTTTTGCAGCTAGTTTGGACAGGAAATCGCTAGAAGAGTTTCTTAGAAAACAGTATTATGACGATTTAGTTTTTGAACACTGTGAACGCGAGACGGGGTGCCCTGTGGTCTGTCACTGTCGTCACGAGTGTCCTGCGTGGCTGCAGTTAGACTCTGCTGTAGATGTGGGCGGGTGTGCGGCACGGGTGCTGTCAGGCGTGGTGTCCGTGGGGCCTGGGGACGGTGCTCACGTGGAGGGCTGGGGACAGGTCGCTTCTAAAGCCGGGATTTAGAAGCGAGGGGCAGGAAGGTGTTCCTGGAAGACACAGTTCGGTAGCCGTTGACAAAGCCGACAGTGGGGATGCGCTTTGCACGCACAGCAGGTGTGCATGCTCACCTCTGTGCGGGCTGTCTGGGCGCCCTCAGGAGGCCCAGCACACGTTGTCGGTGGGGACAGCCCCGCTGAGCTTTCCGAAACCCCAGCAACTCACTTGGGTACAGCCCTGGGAAGCAGAACCACAGGCGGGCACCTGTGGTCAGTGGGCTGGTCACGATTTGCACGTTTTGCAGTGAATGGGCACCTTGTCACCCTCGGCGGGAGAGTTCCCGTCGGTGACACTGGACGAGTATTGACTGAAACGTGTCCCGATCACGTGTGTCCCCGCACGAGCCAGTGGGGGCCTGAGAACTTCGTGAGCAAGTTCTCTAACGCCTGCCGGGCTGCGTCCGTGCTGTGTCACGTGAGGCCTGGCGAGCTCCCCTGACGGCTCGGGCTCCGCCCGCGCGTGTCCTTCCCCGCCGTCCGCGACGGCGAAGGGGTTCGTGCTCTCCATCTGCTGAGGCGTCAGGATCAGGACAGGGAGGAGCTGCTTGGATGGGACCTCTGCCCCCTTCCATCTGGGTTTTATGTTCAGACGTGGGACTCGGGTCCCCCGCGCCCGGCCCGGCCAGCACCTCACACGCGTGTCACAGCAGCTGCCGCGTCTCCTCCTCAGTGTTCGGTGTTTTGTTTCTCGTTCGTTCGCTGAGTTGAGTCACTGTGGGGCCTGCCTGGGCAACCTGGGCTCAGGGCGGCCTCTGGGAGCCGCCCCCGTGAGGTGTAGCCTTTTCTTCAGAGGGACCGGACACGAAAGGCAGGAAGACAGGTCAGCGTCGTCTGCGTCCGTTTTCCAGCAAAGCTGAGCGTGGGTCAGGAGCAGAGGGCCGATGAGGCCAGTGTACTAAGTAGGGCTCATTCCCAGGTGTCCCCTCTTGGCCCCTTGGGGCCACAGCAAGGGCCTGGTGGGTGGGTGTCGATGGCTCGGCCCTGCTGGCTCCGCGTCTCCATGCGCGGTGTGGCCACGCTGTGTCACTCGGTTTGCCTGCCGTGCCCCGACAGAGCCCACGATGGCCGGGCGAGCGTCCAGCCACTCGGAGCCCGCACACCTGACAGCGGCCGGTGCGGAAGCATCACGGGCGTGTCGCGGGCGAGTCACAGGGCCAGGCTTTCATTCGCTGTAGTGGACGCGCGCTCGCGGCCCTGCGCGTGCCCGGGCCGTCAGCGGAGCCTGGCGGGAGGCTGACAGCGGTCCCCCAGGGCCCGAGGGCGCGTCCGTCACGGCGTCAGACAGACTAACGGTGTTCTCCTCTCCCCCGCCCGGCCCCCACCGCACAGGGACGCCCCGGACGCAGGCCCGCCCGGGAGACTTCGTCTGCACCGAGTGCGGGAAGCGCTTCCACCAGCCCAGCCACCTCCGCGCCCACATGCGGGCTCACTCAGGTACCTCCTGCTTCGCCCCGCCGTCCGCGTGCCCAGGGGGAGCGGGGGGTGCCCTTTGCGGGTGGCTTTGCTCTCCACAGTCCGCGGCGTGCCGAGGCCCCGGGCCCTGCGGGCCGTGGGTGACGCACCCTCTGTGACCGCGCACCGGACACTCCGGCGTCCAGCGTCCGAGATGGGTTTTCCCTGCACGCGTGTGCTGTGCAGTGTGACGGGGAGGAGCCCGTTTGCCAGCGTCCCGTCACGGGGAGTGGGCTCCTCAGACACGAATGCGCTGCCGCCAGCGCACACCGAACCCGCACGCAGCTCGGCTTCCCCCGCGGGCCCTGCCCGGGCCCCTCTGGGCCGGTCGGAGGTGGACGTGGGTCCCCGTCTTTCCATAAAGCTCTGCCTGAGGCCGTGTCGGGCTGAGGGCGGTGGCCGCGACCCACACAGCACCCAAGGGCAGGCTGGAGGCTTCTGTCTCGGAAGCGTGAAGGGTCGCGGGAAGCGGCCTGCTGCAGGATGACGGGCCCAGTGGTAAGTGACGCGCAGGACGGTCCCGTCACGCTGCTGGTCATGTCCTCGGGGCGGCTCCTTCAGC